TGTATATTTGTCTGTGTCCGTGTTTGCATGAATATGTCTGAAAATGGACGGAAGCTGCTATGATGACCAAAAGGTTAACATCGTAGTGCACGAGTTCTTATGTGTATGCTCTGTAGGACATCCATGCGATTCCTCCAAGAAATGAACTTGTAACGTTCACAAATGTTTGCCAGATAAACCTTCTATAATACCATCTATTATTGAATATTCATTGAGTTATTTTCTGATGACAAGTTTTATGAATGTATGCAATTCTGGTGTCATTTGTGCAAACCTTAGGCAGGCTTTACCACTGAAAATCCATCAATATTCATATTTATCTCCTCCACCACCAAGTACCTGTACACGTGCTCTATAGTTTGGTTCGCTCGTTATGCCGACCCATATGGGTACACTTTATGAAGCCCATTCCTGGTGTCCTTCTCCGCGATATTGCTGGAATGTTGCTAAAAGCGGCGTAAAACCATACTCTCTCACTCACTATAGTTTGGTTCTCTTATTCTATTTTGAATGACAGTGTTTGACAGACAAGCATTTTAAAATGCTTAATTACGAACCTTGATATGTATACATTGTTACTAAATATAAGTCAATATTATCAATTATCTTCTGCACTATCTGTTAACTGATACTTGATAGTGTTGTGGACTAGGCAAGCGTAAAGCCTGTTTTAGGTTACACATCAGTTACATCAGTTTGATTCATATGTTTGCATATGTGTGTCAGCAGACTATATATCAAGCGTGATTTTAACAGAGACGTTTGTATAGAACAACACCAGCCGTTCGATCGAGATTCAATCGTATTTTTGGTTGTGTTTCACGTGTACAAATAACAATTTAAAATGAAGACATTTCATTCAATAATACAACTTGGCATTTTCAATTCATTCACTTTCATTTTATGTCATATAGAAATATGTTTATTTATTAAAATACTCTGATAAAGAAGTATTTGTTAGATAAACAAAACGTGTTGAGGCATAACTCTAAACTCTCGTTGTGGTCTGCGCATGCGCTTTGTACTATTTGTTATGACTTGTGGAGCTCCCAAACCTCCTGGCATTGTGTGAATCTAGCTGTGCCAAGTATCGAATACGTGTCTGGTTTGTTCTCGGATAAATATGACCACGTTGGCCTTACCTTGAATACCATTGTCAGATACAAAGGCTTCGCTCGTTCACCAGTATTTACCCTTCGGGGGATATGCGTTAGGCTTTGCCACCTCATCTAAAAAGAAAGCATTAAGTACATCGATTAGATATTTAGCTCAAGGGGGCTAAAAATATGTGTAAATTCTTTTACCGATACTTCAAGGTCTGAAGCACTAGGTTTCCATTTCAGATATCTATTGTTTGTCTTTTAATTACATTTCTTCCGATTTTGAAAGCGGTTGAATTCCCCGCCTTGTTTTGGCTAAGATCTGGTAAACGTATGCTAATCTGTCGCCATCCTCTTCAGTTTAGGGTCACACGTGAACACTCGTGAAGGTGCTTGGACAAATATGTACATAGTATACAGCTGGAGGCCCTTTGCTTATTGCAGGTGAAAATTGTCAGTGAACACTGAAAGGTCTTCTTTCAAATGGACGGAGTAGGATTTTATACCGTGAAAATGAGGGCAAGGTAGCGGATTTGTAACGCTGAAATGTAAACTTAGAGAGCTCAGCATTGAATGAGTACGTGATGATCTTAAAAGACATATGCGCATCAAAATGCATGACAAACGTTACTGTTAAGTTTAAATCACATAATATTTTTTGGAGGAATACAATCAAAGAAATATTGATGTTTCTATGGATTTATTTTATAGATTTAGTATATGAAGGTTACCAATGTGATAGAATTATGCAAATTATCGCATAGAAATTCTTACCGTCAACGCCAGTGAATAATCAATCTCGAAATTATTAACTGTTTCATTGAACTGGAATAGTTCACACAAATAAAGACTAAAATATTATGACATCTTCTCCAGGCAGTTATTTCTTTTGGGAAACGGGTATTCATTTGTATGTGTTATAGGGAAAACCATACTACCACTACTAACAATAACGTGCTTTCATGAATAGTGTTCACAATATCTCTGGAATGGGTTTGATGGTATACCCCTGTTGTCTGACAGGTGAAGTTTCGAGTCATTCCACGTAATGCAAACATAGGTGTTTCTGGCGGAGAGGTGTTAATAATCTAAGTTAACGTTAAAACCCGGCAGAGTTTGATGTGGGGAAATATACCGTTTTAGAACATTTAGTCTGCTGAAAGGAATACCAGAGGGCGTGAGTGTAGTGCACGTTCCAACGTTTCCATTGTTCTTATTTGCATTCATGAAAGATTTCTGTCAGTTAGAAACATTCTTTTCGGGACTTATAGGATAAACGGACAAGTATTATGATAGTTTTAGGGCGGTGGGGTAGCCTTAAGGAGAGAGAGAGAGAGAGAGAGAGACACACACACACACAGAGAGAGAGAGAGAGACAGAGAGAGACACCGAGAGAGAGATGAGTACCAAGTTGACTTGAGTTACTTCACACGCAATCTGTCACTATATGTCATCTTATCCTAATCAACTTTTGATGGGGATACTGTTTCATCACGCATACTTCTCACATGTTTATGGTTCACCACGGAATAAAAGGATAAGCCCTACCAAAAGTTAACTACAGATGGACCGTTCGGTTGGAATACATATAGCATGATTTTATTTTAAATGTTAAATTTCATGTTAAATGTTAACATCAGGAGTACATTTGCATAATTGACGAATCAGTGTCCAAACTTATGTCAGATGCATTTTCCTATTTTGACTTGTGCTATATGTAGCCGTGTGTGTTCAGGTGACGAGCGCAACCGGTTGTGCAGGATAGGCTCCCCTGGTATCATCACTATTTGATAGTGATTTATGAATCCTTATATTATGAGTGGGAATATTACAATGGGTTATGGAAGGCTTTTGTCTTGTCCAGTTAACGACATTCTTCTAAACACCAAAGTCAAAACCCTTTCAATAATCGTAAGAAATCTCTGCCAAAAGCAGTGTCCATTTACGATTCCGACTCACGTCATATGAAGCATGTGTTTATGAATCACTATCAAATAAAAATGAGCGTATCCTGTCAGAGACAAATGCAAACATCACCTCACACACTCACTATTCCATGACTTATGTCAAAGCGTTATTTGTGTGCAGCGACGTCATTCGCCACATACACCTCAACACAACATTGTTTGGCAGTTTCACGTAACTACCTGTATTTTTAATCGCCAATGTCCACATCGTGCTTGTGTGCATACGAGATGCAGATCCAGTTGCAAATAAAATAATCATCCTGGCCGTTGTGTAGGCCCAGTATTTTAAGAAAAGCCAATGAGAAACACGTTGACGTTGATCACTGTAAGGAATACTTTAACGTGAGATAACCGTGTGCTGTTCTTGTGTAGATTGTACGACATCCCGGAATGTTTGCTGAGAGGCTTTTTTACTTTTTAAAATTCTAAAACAGAACGTGGTAGTTTCGTTGAAGTTAATTGCGAAGTCTTAACGGGAATTTTGGTTTGATTAAAACATAAAAGCATGTTTACACATCTCAAAGCAAACGTGTTGCAGTAAAGAAGTATCAAAGATATCATGAATTATTGATGTTGTTGGTGGTAGGGTTGGGGGTGGTGGGACCGGAAACAATTTGGCCTCATGGTTCACCAAAAAGTGATTTGTTTAAAAAAAATTGTTCAGCTCCCCCATGCGCAGAGAAATACGTGTTTTTGTTTATGAAAAGCTTGCGCCTGTACTTTTCAATCTCAAACAGGAATATTGAAATATTTACTTAACTATCATTTTACGTCGCATTGGTAGAATATAGAAGTTGAAATCCATACTTGCACATCGTTGAATCTTAAAACTAAAAGGCACAAACAATCTGTTAGGTAGGGATATATGGCGCATGATCATGAAAGTGTACGTCATATTCTGTTTGTATTGTCTTTCACCTTAGTCCCCGTGGGTATCGATGATCTGACATCGTTCTAAAAACCAAATAGCTAGTTTTCCTCCACTGATTAACCCACCTCAACTAGAAATAAAGAAGCCAGAGCGATTCCCTCATCTGTTTTATATTAAGATCTATGTATAAAGATTCAGATTGACAAAACACTATCCACAAGGCTGTATGACAAGAGGGATGACTTCAACATTCCAATGGTCAACTCTCCCTTATGTCGAGCTATATTCCTTCAGATCAAGTCTCTGGTGTCTGTATTTCACAACGCTGAGGTACAGTCGAGTATGCTCTTTCTACCAAGAAATCAGAGAGCGTCATACGATTCTTGCTCAGAAGTTGTTTGATCAAACTTTCAACATACAAGGCCTCAATAAAGCTTTCTGAAGGTTTTATGGCAGACATGTCGAGGACATTTCCAATTTTGACGGATCAGTGACAAACCTGATGTTCGATGCAATTACTTATTATGACTTGTACCATATGTTCCCGTGTTTTTTATCAGGTGAACAATTGACTTGCCTTTGCATGTGTGTGTGAAGGGTGCCACCGGTGGGGCAGGATACGTTTACCTTTTTGCGAACACTATTGGATAATGATTCATGAACAAATTCTCATGATATAGTCGGAATAACAATCTTATTAATAATATTCTTATGAATATAGAAAGGATTTTGTCATTTATATTGGCCAGGCTTCGTGATAATGTGTCATCGTACTCCCCAAAGATGTGGGTAGTTGCTTACAATTTCAATATATGGATTCTCTGATCCAACCTCGGTTATTTACTAACGTCGTCATGGTGTAGCTGGAATATTGCTGCAGCGTTACACAAAAACAACTTTAATCATTGAGGTATTAAGAATGCAACATTCATTTACAATTACACTTTGTTAAGTGAGGGAGCTCTCGCCAAATATCAGACTATGAAAAAAATATCATGAGTTCATCAAATTTTGCATCTCTTTGAAACATACATGAAAGTTAATATGCCATTGTTGTTGCAGGTCCAGTATGAAGACAATGGCGGCAAATGCGGCGTGTGTGGTGACCCCTGGCAGGGCCCACGCGACAACGAACCTGGTGGAAAATTTTATACAGGCATCATTGTCCGGAAATACAATGTTGGTCAAGTGATAGGGGTTAAAGTTCAACTGACGGCCAGCCACAAGGGCTTCTTCGAATTCCGACTTTGCCCAAACAACAATCCATTCAAGAACGTGACTCACGCCTGCCTTGATAAGTACATCCTTCCCTTGGCTAAGACAGGGGAGACCAAGTATATGATAGAGTCAAAGGATAGTAACCAAAACATTGAGGTCAATCTGAAATTACCAGAAGGAGTTCGATGTAGCGCATGCGTATTACAGTGGAAGTACAACGCCGGAAATAGTTGGGGCACTGATTCGGTCGGCAATGGCTGCATCGGCTGTGGTAACCAAGAGCAGTTTTATGGTTGTGCTGATGTTGCTATCGGCTCTGATCAGGCTGTTGTGGGCGTCATCCCACCCAGGCATCCTTGGTACTTCGACACGGACGACCGGTGGTACTGGGGTATTGTTGATGGAGGGAATGGAACCATGTTTGCAGCTGCCCACAGACATGACGGACATACACTACTGGTCCTGCTCACCGTCATTGTGGCTGCATGTATTCAGTTTCGGTGCCAGTGAAGAACAGACACGTCTAACAGTGCTCAAAATACCCAAACATTGACAACAATTTCATTGTCACAACAGCATTCTGAATACAACCCCTGTGTATATATGTATGTATATTCCCTTATGTGTTTCCTAGTTTTCATATCAAAGCACGCATTCCATTGATCAATAATATTATCGTGATTATGAAATGATTATTTTGCATTTCAAAGCAACACACGCGAGAACGTTTCACTTCATTCCCAATTCGGTTTTGCTATGTGTAAGATGTTTACTTTTACAATAAAATACAAAATGAATTCTTGTTTCTCTTGTCATCTTATGTCTGTGCTGTGGAGAGAGGGGAGTGTATGACATCTTCAGCAAAAGACGATGGGTTGGCACCGCCCTTAGCGATATTCAAGCACTTTCACGGCGGGGGCTTCACACACTCAAGCCATGTGGAGAATCGAACACTAGCCTTCGGCGTGACGAGCCACCAGGTTACCCCACCATCCTTTAGCATCTGAATAACTGACACTTCACCTTCTTGGTCTGAATGTATCAGCACATGGCGCGTTAGTAAAAGTCAAGGTTGACAGATTGAGTAAGGAATACAAACCAATTACACCAACGTCGATCAGAGACGATAATCTAACAACCTGGCAAAAATATGCAAGAAATATATGTGTCTGTCCACACAGCAAGCTATTTGGAGGCGTTACGACAATCTTTGTGCACTAGGCAACTGTGTGCCGGGAGTACCCATGGAAATCCACAATGACTTAGCCTTCTAAGATGTTGAGGAAGCAACAGGTCAATATTAGAGAGTCTGGCCAACCAACCCACACCTGTCAAGAGGAAATTACTGCCTCACCTGTACAGCACACATGCTTGATTGTCCGCAAACAGGCGTGCTGTCACAAACATTTACCAGGACAACAAATTCATTAGGAACAACGAACCGCACAATAGGTCAAAACCGGTTCCTCTTCTGAACAATGGCCTTCCTTTGTCAGCATACACCTTACCGACGTAACCGAACTTTGATTAATGAAGTTTTTGTTCCAGGAAGCAAATTATGTTCTTAAATCTTTGAAGATGATGTTTTTGTAGATATAAAGAGAACTTTTGTGTCAGTCAATTACAAAGATTTAGGAAGCTCTACCATTAGTAGGAAACTATTGAGATTCAACATTCTAAAATTGGGAACCTTGAAAACAACGGTAAAAGCGAGATATACTTCTTTGATTTCTTAACAGCTGAAACCGTTCTTTTTCCTATCTGATTACGATAATGTATAAAGAAGCTACATGTAGTTATTATTGCTTACCAGTGTACCGAGGAAATAAACTCGCTTATACACTCAAAGGAATTCGAAATACTAACTGTTATCGTACTCTAATGAATCATATACTTTATATTTAGAAGCACTGTCTGCTGTTAAGAAAATTATAACACTAATCTGTTTTAAACACAACAATACTACTACCACCACTACTACTACTTTTAATAATAATAATAATAATAATAATAATAATAATAATAATAATGCAGATAAGGGCTTAGCCCCGGACAAACTCCATTATGATGAAAACAAGGCATTCCACAGTTTTCTAAAACGAGCCAAGGATATGGGACATAATCTCAATGTCGGTGTTGATTTTGTTGATGGTTCTGTACTGCTGGACGGTACAGAAATGAGTGTCAACTAAACGAAGTGCCATATCAAATCGGCCCAGACTCTTTTTCAAGGAGAGGCTATCTGAACGACCACTCCATCGAGTTTATGTGCAGTGTGTTGAGAAGATCGGCAGTCCTGCAGAGTCCTTCGCTTGGATGAGGTCGTCTGGCCTGAAAAGTAAAACAGAAGGCTTCCGGTTTGCAGCTCAGGACCAGTCGCTTCCCACTCAAAACCGTCAATGTGTGATTTTGCATCAAAATGTGAATATGAAATATAGATTATGTAATGAATTTAACGAGATTGTCCAACACATTGTCAGTTGATGCCTAGCTTTGGCACAAACACAGTATCTTAAGCGACAAGATGGGGTGGCTCGATCATTTTATTACCTTCTTCGCCATGCTTGTGATTTTGACACAGAGGTCCATCCATGGTACGACCCGGAAATGTAAAGGGCGTCATGGAAAATGATAACTACAAAATCCTTTGGAATAGGCCCGTATACAGCCTCAGGCATATCAAGGCCAACAAACCTGATCTTGTCCTTTTTGATAAATCCAATGAAATCATTTATATCATTGAATTTTCTGTCCCGTTTGACAGTAATGTGATTGACAAGATTGAGGAAAAACATGGCAAATCTGCGGACCTCGCTTTCGAAATGTCGCGCTTGCATCCCAAATACCAAGTTGTCCGACTCCCCATTGTTCTCGGTGCTTTAGGTGTGGTACCTCCCAATCTGTTGACTGACATAGGGAGAGTACCCGGGTTTGCTACCAGGAATACAGCCCTTCTGACAATCTGGGTAATGCAGATGTCTGCAGTGTTGGGGAGTCACATTCTCCGAAAAGTTCTGGGTGGGTTTGACTAGGCAGCGCTTCCTTGGAGAAGTCCCATTCGCGGTCTGGGCTGCGTGTAGAGGGGGCAAGGGCCCTGAGCTGATGATGAGCCTAACCAGCCTGACTGTGCCAGGATCGATCACCCAAGCCCTCTATGATGATTTTTTTTATTTTAATCTGTACATCATCATCATCATCATCATCATAATAATAATAATAACATGTCAGTTATCAACAAACGTATACGATCACAGTTAATTTTCCTTTAACGAAAACAAGAAAACTTACGAAAGAATTCAGAGATGTGTTCAGTCTCTAGTCCGAGTAAGTGAGTGATTTTGATTTAACCCCGCTTTGAAAAGTATGTCAGTTATATCACGGCGTATCACGGTGTATCACGTTTGTGTGGGAGGAAACCCCGATGTGATGCAAGTCAGGTATGATATTGTCAGACCTAGAAATCTAACCGGGGCTGACTCCTTATTACTGGATGTATCAGCTTTTATTTTGAGTACAATGTTTGAAGCCTATTCTGGTGTCCACAAGCCATGAACTGTGTAAACGCCACTAAAGGTGCAGACAACTTTACTCACTCATTCACTCACTTCCTCACAAGTGAATCGTTGATGAAAAGAAAACCTGTTACTTCTTGCCGGCAGAAGCGATTTAGCAAGTGTTTTCACACCACAAATATGTTTCGAACGAAACAACCCTTTACACATTTAAATATCAGGTACACCCCAATACCCTAGCAACGAAAATAAAATAACATTTCAACCGAATATTCAAATTTATCAACAAACTCGTCGACAACTCATCTATATTTATAGTATTCCGCCAGACAAGGATAATGAAATATAGTGTCCCGCTATTTTCGTAATGCACTCAACAAAGCTTTTCACTGCCAAGCTGCGGTGTTGAGATACCAGTGGGTGCCCTCGAACAACCTGCCTCACATTGTTTATCAGGTGTGGAATTCGAATTAACAGTTGTTCAACTCAGCCGGTGTCAACCTTATCAACAGGTTTTTATGTAACAGGACCCATAGCGGTATTCGAACCGACGTTTTCTAAAGACACACCACATTGTTTTACTATTGTTTTGAAGTGAACTGGTAGATTCTAAATTTGCTGCTATTTTTCAATTTCTTAACGAATAACTTAACCTGGGCTGGTCGGATGACTCAAATATTTTAATCTGAAGCGAGGTATAGTTTCGATCACAGTTCAAATTCTTGTTGCCACGCTTTACCCCGTTATGACACACAAGATGCTGGTGTTGCCCAACAGAAGATGGTAAGTGATGCTGAATGTCCACACAAGGGGAATCTAACTCCCGGGAAACGATGTTGTCGGCAGAAGGGTCACGTTAAGCATACAGAAGCGGTCAGTTCTAGAACAGACACAAATATGTGATCTTTTCATTTCCGCTTTCATTTATCAAATCAAGATGAGACCAAATGCAAATTGACAAGATGGCCTTTCTTGGCATTACGCCACCATATTCAATCTTAGATTCACATTTGTTTTATCTGTCATTTCCCCGTGGAGATTCCGGTTTAGAATTGGCACCCAACAACCTATGCTTGTCTTAAGAGGCGACTAAGTGGATCGAGCGATCTGGCTCGGTGACTGGGTTAATAGCGTGTAAGCGTGCCCCGACGGCGTGGATCGTTGCTCATGATATCAATCATTGGTTAGTTTGGTCCAGACTCGATTATTTACAGAGTGCGGGCATATAGCTTGAATATTGCTGTTTTCGGCGTTAAACAACGAAAAACGATTTCTTTTCCTGACCCACAATACCACTTTACAGTCAACTGATCTCCAGAACACTTATTGTCATGCAGTTATATACTGCCGTGGTAACTGTATACTAACATGTAATTGCTTCCAGAGGCTCTGTGGAGGTGGGTAGTCTGGTATAGATGTCGTCAGATGGGTACAATATCTGAAGCCCATTGCTGAGGCGCCCCGCCGTGATATTGCTGCCATAATGCGGCGTAAAACCATACACATGAAGGCACTCACTTAGAAGCCCCCTCTGTCACTGTTGGCGATCGACTTCAACTCTGTTCTCGCGATAATAGTGAACATCTCGTGGAGATTCCAGGGCACACTATGTACCCAGTACACCCGTACTTGTATGAGCAGACTCAACTGTTTGTGTCACCGTGCCCGAGGGCGATGACCGTTTCTCACATATTCATATCATACATATTGGTTGTATCAGGCTCGATAACATTCAAGTTGCCGTGATGATATAACAGGAATATTTTTCTCTTTGATATAGCTGGAATAATGAACTCCTTGGAATATTGGACTGTGGCCTGAAACAACATTCTTGTATTGGTTCTCTAAATATCGGGATATTCAGCATTTCGAGTATTAGGTCACCTGGCATATGTACCTTCAGCTAAACAAACACAGTATCTCCACACCTTATCTTTCTGGGCCCCTTTGCACAAAGCGATCGTAGCTAAGATTGCTTCTTATAATAGGGCACATGTTTCCACCGTTAAGCATATACATAATTGCCCTGTTTCCCAAAGCAATCTTACCAGTACGACTGTCGTAATTTTGTGATACATAAAAGGAACTTCAGGAGAAGAAGCGTTACAATCGCTTTGTGAAACGGACCCCTGAAGGCAAATCACAACGTTGTCGACAATACAAGCACTAACTAGAGCATGAATAACTGAATGAGAACACGCCCAAAATACACTCTATCGTGACTTGCAGGCTGTATTCATTTTCATTTTACGAATTCCACGTCCTCTGAACATAACTCCAAATAA